TAAATTAAGTTTATGAAGGGTTTTCAAAAAGTTAATGGGAAGTGTGATTATGGAAAAAGTTATGCATGAATTTCAAATGTTTTTGCATTGAAATAACTCTTAGTTTAATTATATTTTTCCATAAACTTTTTGAAGTGTCTTTGTATTTTGCATGCAGTTCTGGAGACTGGAAAGTCCAAGGGCATGGCTGCAGTGTCTGGTGAGGGCTTTCATACTACATCATATCATGATAGAAAAGCAGAAGGGCAAGTCATGTGCAAAAGACCATAAGAATAAACCAAGTTCAATTTTATAACAACCTGTTCCTGTAAGAACTATGGGAATGAATTAACTCAATCACCTTTTATTAGGCCCTATTTCCAACATCGTTGCACTGGGGTTTGAATTTCCAACACATAAATTTGGGGATGCGTTAGCAAAAGGCAGGTTTGCTAATATCTTCAAATATAGAGTTAGTGTTAGTTACATTCCAGAGAAAAGGACTGGTAGGCTTACTACCTATTATTATATTTATTTATTTATTTATTATTATTTTTAAATTTGACCAGAGAGAGACAAGAGGGAAACTGAGAAAGGAAACCACCCTGTCCTGGACTCAAATTGTGGTTGGCCATGTGGGAATCCAGTGCCTCAACCACCACACAACCTGCCATCACTGGATTAGGGATTCTTAAATCTGAGGTTTCTCTCTTGAATTGAACCCCAGCATGTATATCTTTTTGGACCTTCCTGTGTTGCTCTGTGAGCAAAGGCAACTGACACAAACTTGCCAGTGCTTATACTGTTTGCTGTGCAGAGTCCTTTTTCTCTGTCCCAGGTGTCTTGGGTCTTCTGCCAGCATCCATAAAATTGGCAGGCTAACCAGTTAGCTTACAACTAGATAAAATTTTAGATCCTTCATAGTTCTTGACGGAGATTCCCCAGCACTCTGAGTAGGCACATACAAAGCTAGGTAGATGATACTTAGTGCTGTGAAGCCTGCAAGATAGTCAATTAGCATTTCTTGTCACTTTTTCTCCTCCAAAGTCACAAGATGAGCTGCTCTCAGACAATCACACCTTAAGTGTGACTTCTATTCTAAAATATATGTGTGAACTCTACTAGCTATAATTATTCTGCCTTGAATATTCTTAACGAAGTAGGAGAATATTTCATCAACATTAAGAATGCTATGTTAAAATTTTAAAATGATCAAGACATGAAATATATCAAAAATATACTTGATTTAAAATTTAAAAAATTAATGCATGTATGTGTTTAAAAATCTAACTCAAGAATATTTTCATGAGATACTCTTATGTGATAGCAATAAGGGACCGACAATATGGTTTCTAAGTATCCCAAGAACTATCATCATCCAGGGCAGAATCACTATGTTTTTTGGCTGTCACTTTGTCTTTACCAGGCACTGTTGCTTCTACCATGCTCTGGCAGCTGGAGGAGATGTTCTGTATCTGGGTCTTCCAATGTAGGGGCCGTGAACCACATGTGACTACTGGACCCCTAAAATTTGTCTAGTCCCAAATGAAGTATTATAAATATAAATTATACACTTAGTTTCAGCAGAGCAAAAAAGGAATGTAAAATATTTCATTAACCATTTTAAAAATTGATTACATTTGAAATGAGAATATTTTATATAGGTCAAATAAAATATTGTTAAAATTACTTTTTACCTGTTTAGATTTACTTCTTTCAATGAGGCTACTAGAAAAGTTTAAATGACATCAGTAGGTCTTATTTTATTTTGATTGAACAATGCTCTGCTAAATCCTTGCTGCTCAAAGAACAATCATGGGGTAAGCAGCACCAGCATCATCTGGAACTTGTTAGAAACATAGACTCCCACACTCTACCCTAGATCCACTGAGTCAGAATTTGCATTTTAACATAATCTCATGTGATTTGTATGCATGTTACAGTCTGAGTAGCAGAGAGTTTCTAAGACTATGATTGCCAAATTTAGCCAAGAATAAGAAGACAAGACAGGATGCTCAATTAAATTTAGTTTCTATGTAAACAATGAATGATTTTTTATAGAAATGATGTCCCAAATATTGCATTAGATATATTAAAATTACTTGCTGTTTAACTGGGTAAGCCCATCTAAGATTAAACTACCCCTTTTCAGACCTATGTTGTTACTAAAATTCCATAGAATTGAGAAAAGGATAGAAAAATAAAAGGAGAGGTGAAGAGTAGATGCTGAGTGAAAGAAAAGAAGGGAGAGAAGAAAAATAAGTATGAGGAGAAGCCAGAAAAAGATGAGGCATGGAAAAGTCATATTTAAAGCCACTGACCATTTTTTATTTTCATTGCCAGAGTTTGTGTGTGCACATGAAAGATGGAGAGAAAGCTCCTCCAGTGGGGCATAGACACACTGTGATCTTTTTTCTTCCATTCCTTCAATCTCATCAGGATTTTGAGTACTCATGCACATGCACCCAGCGTGTTTTTCAAGCCATTGAGGTCAGGATTTGAACCGCAGTTGGCCATGTGGGGTATGGTTACCTTATGTGCTGAGGTATGGGGTCAACTTTTTATTTTATAATTTGCTAGAAACTTTCCTCCTTACTCTTGCTTTCTCCTTCTTCCTCTAGTCATTGTAGTTTATTTTTTTCATTTTCTGCAGCAGTTCCTAGAGCCCTGTTCAGAGAACAATGTTGCATGTGCAAAGCCGATGGGGAGGAAAGGGAGTGTTTCCTCAGGGCCAAGTCCCATCATTCTTATAATCCATTATCTCTCTGAAATTTCACTTGAAAATAGCCCTTCTCAGCTACCACTACTTTGCTATAAAGAGCTCAAGGTTCCCAAGTACCAAAATGCTAATGCTTTAATGCTCTTATTTTGGAGGACTTTATTATGGCATTTTAATTGTATTAAAACACATACACACACACTCACACGCATATACATATACATATAAAATATATAGAACCGGGCCGGCTTTGTGGCACATTGGTAATGCACTGCTTGAGTGATTATAGATCTACATGGAAGATTGTGGGTTTGGGTCCCTGGTTGAACTGTATATGCTGGGCACATGTGCCTATGGTCCTAACTGGCTGTGAGGGTTGTGGGGTGGATTATAGTGAGAGATCTTGTTGATCTTCCTCTCATTTTTATGAAATAAATAAAGATTCATTAACAAAATGTGAACCAAGGCTGACTTTGTGGCCTGTGGTTAAGGTGACTAGATTCTACATGGCTGACTCTGTGGTTTGAGTCTCAGATCCATCAACTTGAGAAACACACCAGGTGCATGTGTGTGCACCCCAAGTCCTGACCAAGATACAGAATCAGAGAAGAAGAGATTGTAGTATGACCACACCCCCTGGAGGATGTTTTCTCTCTCCCTCTCTCTGTTGGTCTCTGGTAAGTACATGTGCCCTGTGGCAAAATTCTTTTAAAAATGTAAAATAAGTTTTAGGGACTTTTTTGTTTTACTTTGTAGGCTTTTTTGGGGGAAGGTGGAATCAAGCCCGCAGGAGAAGAATAATAACAGTGTTTTTAGCAGTGTTGAAGTAAGAAGAAGTTTTTTAATCTATGATCTCACTTAACCTTCACAGCTTTTTATTTATTTATTTTTATTATTATTTTTTTTTAGTTTATTCATAATAGAGCAGGCTTGTGTGCTCATGAGAGAGAGAGAAAGAGACAGAGAAGAAGACAGGCACCCTTGACAGGGTATTGTCATGCTTTGATCCTCTTCTCCTATCCTTCCAACTCTTTAGGATTCTGGCACATATGTGCTTGAGCCTGTGTGTTTCAGGTTGACCAGAGTTTCAGAAAATGCCATAGGCCATGTGGCTTCCAGCATTGTGCACTCTGCTACTACTCGTGCCACTGAGGCTTGCCCAGCCAAAGCAGTTCTTTCAGTATTTTTGTCTCCACTCTACAAATGAGGAAATGAGGCTCAGGAGGGAATTAACTCACCTAGTGTCAAACAGCTCACCTGGGCTGGAGCTGAGCATACATTTGAGTGCCGTCTGACTCTGGAGTCAGTGCTCTTCACCTTGACATTCCATGCCTCTCAGCAAGTAGTCATGAATTCAACAACAAACTGCGAAGGACATGTACATAAATTTAGGTAAGTTGCAGAGATTTTTTATTTGCTTATTCACCTGAAAAAAATGCATGCAAAAATATATACTTCATCAATTTGGGGAAGAATTTAATAACTTCTTGAAAGTAGTATGAGAATCTTACTAAGCGTTACTTGACAGACTAGATCTGTAGTGTAAGAATTAAGCCTTGTGCATAGAGAACATGATTCCAAATGGCTGACTGGAATCCCAGCTCTGACAACTTGAGAAACACATGATGTGTGGGTGTGTCTGAAAACCTGATGGGGAGGGACCAGCAGTTAGCATAATGGCTATGTCGCTGGACTCCCACGTAGTCGACCCCGGTTTGCGGAGCCGGTGGTTAAAACTCACGCCAGGCATGTGTGCGTGCGTGCCCAAGATCCCTAGAGGAGAATGGAGGAGAAGAGATTCCGGAGTGGCCATCCCTGGGGGGGACCGAGGGTTATTTCTCGCTTTCTGTCTCTCTGTCTCTCTCTCTCTCTGTCTGGCGAGCGCATGCACCCTATAGTGAAAACCTCTCCAAAAAAAAAAAAAAAAAAAAAACCTGATGGGGAGAAGGTGCTTTCTCTCTCTCCCTTTGGGAAGCACACCTCTAGCGATTAAAAAAAAGTGTTAATGTGACAGTTTCAAAACAATGCAAATATCTATAAAAGAGATTAACTGGCCAATATAGTTTCTCTAAAAATATCTGCTTCCTAAGAATCCTCTGATGAGCTGAATAACTAAAAATCTAAATATTAGTTGTATTCTAAATTAAGCATTATGAGGCACCTCCATTCTCCCACCTTCCACATCACACATCCTGGGAAAGCTGCCCTTCAATTGGTTGAATGGACTGTCAGTCAACATGGCATGAAAAGTACTGCCTCTCCTCTGTTTGCATTTATAAATTAACAGATGTCTTTGGTTTGAAGAAACTGATTCTTGATGGGAAGAAAAATCTTGTTTAGTTTTTCACTTATTTTTTTATGTGTGGGATTTTCACTAACTTTGGACCAGATATTTGCCAGGAAGAATGTAAGGTGAGTAACTGCACATTTTTAATGCAATGCATTTGTGAACTTCAGTGTACATGAAATTAGGTGGTTCTATAATTTCTTCATATTGTTGTATATCTACATTGCCTATGATTCAAAATAGATAGGCTAGATTAGACTATATAGTTAACTACTAAAATGATTAAACTGGAGTTTATAATTAAAAAATAAAATGTAACTTTCATTATAAAATGCAAGACTTATTTGCTCAAAATGCCTACGAAACATTTGTACTGTGTATCAGAGTATATATCTATGAGATAGTGACTCTTTACATTGATGCTTGGGTTTCTTTTAGCCTTAGAAGTTAATGTTATTTTCAGTTTCTCCTGTTATTATTACTTTTTATGTGAGAAGACAGTAAGAAAAAAACCCTCCAAAACCTCAGAAACATATAACCTGTCCCCCAAAGAAAAGGTGTTTAATTATTTTAACTGATGGAAATGGTAATTGTATGTGATTTACAGTATTTAAAATTACTGAGCAAGATTTCTATTTCCATTGTCCCTTTGGCTTTTTTCCATACCATATAAGGGAACACATAGAGATCTATGTGTAGAATTTTTTTTTTTTTTCAGAGTTTGAATAGGAATTAATTTGTGTCGTGTCTCCCAATTACTCATTCTGTGCCATCTTAGCAAATGCATCTGGGAATTTAGAGTAAACACAAATGACAGCTGCAAGCAGGATAATGCTTCCAAGTCAATCGGTGCTTTCCTTCAGGTTAACTTTTAAATAGTAAGTGACTTATATTCTTTAGGTAGTTAAAGCAGAGTAATGCTTCCCCTCTTGGTTTAAATATACATGATTGGTTTGTGTATTACACTGGTAAAATGTACACCAAAAATTATGAAAATCCCAATTCCATTCTTCAGACAAGATTCAGATAATAGAAATCACATAAATCAATGATGATTTGAATCTAATAATATAGCATGTTAATTTACAATATTATAACAGAAACAATAGTTGCTGTTTAGTGGATGTTCTTTCAAATCATGAATCTAAAATTAAAAATATCTTTTAACTATGGAGCTACTCAAGATTCTAGTGTCTCTAGGAAGAATGATTGTGTTTAAAGGTTATTATGTGCTTCCTGACCTTAGAGAGAGCAAGGTTGTCATTCTTCCTAATGGGTTTGTTCTTGAACCAAAAGAAAATTCTGTGTGATTTTCTATTTTCTATTTTAATTTCAGATGTTGTTCATTAATGTGCTAGCTCATTCATGCATGTAACACATTTTTAAAATATGTGGTACTTTTAAATAATGAAGTGCCCTCATAGACTATGTCTGCTTGGGAGGTGTTCATTCAACAAATATCACATAATATTACAAATAGACTTGGAAATGTTGTGAAAGAGAAGTGTAGAATGTAATAAGCATATAAGATAGGGAGTTGGGAACTAGTCTGAGAAGTTAGAACCCGAGGAAATAGTATTTGAGCTATGATATGGAGGATATGTAGAAAACACCTAAGAGGTTGTAGAACATTACAGGTGAAGGGAACAACATCTGCTAAGGCCATTAGGAGAGAAGAAGATGACATGAAGCTTTCCAGGAATTGAAGAATGTGAATGTAGCTGGGGCAGAAAGAAAAGGGAAAAGGGGAAAGGAGGAAGGCACAGTTGTCAGGGTAGGTCTTTAAGGGCTTTGTGGGCCATAGTGGGAATGTGGTCTCTGTTTTAAGTAGGACTATGAAGATGCTACTTCACTGCCACGGTCAAATCCATGAAGGTGTATAGTACAAGCTAGTACAAACCTAAAGCTGTTGGCTACTTTTCAGGTATTTAGAGATTTCTTTGATTAGAAAAGACCTACATATATACATAAATATATGCATATATATAAACACTATATATTATATACATAAGTATAAATATATAAAACTATACATTATATAAATACAACAAACAAATGTATATGTAAATCATATAGAATACATATATATGTATATATGCATGTTTTTATATGCCTAGAGATATGTGCATTCATCAGAGAGGAAGAAAGTACCCTCACACCCCCCGCCCCCCAAGGCATGATTATCCCCCAAATCCTTTTTCCTTCATTTTACTATCCTGTCAGATTTTGGCCACATATGTACATGTGTCTAGCATGTTTTTTGAGCTACCAGGGCTGGTCTTGAAACCACGGTCAGTCATGTGAGATCCAGCTCCCTATAGAGAGTATAACGTCTGTGCTATGCTGCTAGTGCCTGAATATTTTAGTAACAATCTACGTTTAGTTTTTAAAAAACAGTTTCTCAGTTTATGCATATATATAATGAAAAAAACTTTTAAATTGCTATAGGATTCATTTATTCATCAGAGAGAGAGAGAAACACCCCAATAGGGAATGGTTATACTGCAATCCCTTCCCCTCCATTCCTCCATACCTCCATTCTTTTGGGATTTTGGACATGTGCACATGTACACCTAGCAGGTAGGCCATATGGGATCTGACTCCCTTAACCACTAGGCCACAGGATTGGTTCTTGCATTGGCTATTCCTAGCTTTCTCTTCATCATTCTCCTGAGATGGATCAACTGTACACTGTTTATTAGACTCTATGCTTTCCTCTTTTTTTGGTTTTCTTGCTTATTTTTCTGGACCATGAAAATGTTTTTAATTTGATTCTTCTTTTTTATTTTTATTTATTTATTTATTTATTTATTTATTGTGGCAGGGCACATATGTTTACTGGAAAGAGAGAGAGGGAAAGTGAGAAATCACCACCAAGCAGGGATGGCCACACCCCAGTCCCTTCTCCTCTGTTTCCCTCTTGGGATTTTGAGCATGCACACACACACACACACCTGGTGGGATTTTTCAAGGTGCTGAGTCCAGGACTCATACTGTGGTCAGTCATGTGGGGATTCAGCAACATAAGCACTATGACACCTGCTGACCTCTATCCATTTACTTATTATGAAAGAGTATGAGTGATACATTTTTGGAATCCATCCATGATTCTCATTTCATATTCTGGAAGCCAATAAAATATTTATCCTCAGCTTCAAACTAATACAAGTACCTTAGCTCACAAAAGTCACCTCAGAATGGATCACAGACCTAAATACAAATGTTAAAACTTCTAGAAAAAACACATAAACATGCTTTTCTTTATAAAGAAAAGTTTTTATGACCTCATGTTAAGTGAATACTTCTTTTAGACACAAAAACCATAGATCATAAAATAAAAAAACACATTGTATTTTATGAAACTTAAAACTTTTGTTCATGTCTTCACCACTTTCACTACAACTTTTGCTCTTTGACAAGAGAAACTTGCTTGAATCGTCACATTTGTCACACATGGAAACAACATAGGCCCTCCTTACATGTTTTTCATTTTAGACACTCTCATAAGGTCTCACAGCATGAATCCCTTGAAGTCTGACTGGTCACATGCCATATGCAGACCAGTGCTTCCCAGTTTTCTTGATATAAAGGTGAACAGTTCTGCTAACAGGAGTTCGGGACAGCCTAGTTTTGTTAGAGGCTGGTATTATAGAAAAGCCTTCGACAGTATATTAGATGCTTGACTGTTCTGAATGCCTCTAGACACCTTCTCTGGAAGAGCACTTGTGCTTTTTGCAAACCACTATTAGGAAAATTAAAAAGCAAGGCATAATATGGAAGAAAACATTTCCATCATAGATATCTGACCCAGTAGTTGTAGTCAGCACATATAAAGAACTCTTATAATTCAGTAAGAGGATAATGGATGTAGTTTAGAAAATTGACAAATATTTAAACATACTTCACCAAAAAATTATATGCATGGTTAGTGTGTACAAGAAGAGATACTGAACATCATTAGCTATCAGGAAAAGGGAAATTAAAATTATAGTGAGATAGCAGTCCATGCCTATTGAAATGGCAGATATTAAACAGCCTGGCAACACTGAATGTTAGCAAGAATGTGGAGCAACAGGAATGCTCTTGTACTGAAATGATCACAGTATTTTAAAAAGTTAAATATGCTTCAATATATGACTCCATTATCTACTATTTTTTCAAGGGAAACAAAAACATATTCAACTCAAACCTCTATATACAATTTTTTTTTTTAATGCTCTTGTACTGAAATGATCACAGTATTTTAAAAAGTTAAATATGCTTCAATATATGACTCCATTATCTACTATTTTTTCAAGGGAAACAAAAACATATTCAACTCAAACCTCTATATACAAATTTTTTTTTTTTTTAGAGGTTTTGCTATAGGGCACGTGCGCTCGTCAGACAGACAGAGAGAAACAGAGAGACAGAAAGCGAGAAATTACCCCCCAGGGGGGATGGTCACACTGCAATCCCTTCTCCTCCATTCTCCTCTTGGGATCTTGGGCACGCATGCACACGCGCCAGGTGTGAGTTTTAAGCCACCAGGTCTGGGACGTGAACCGCGGTCGACTACGTGGGAGTCCAGCGACATAGCCATTATGCTAACTGCTGGTCCCTATACAAATGTTTTAAAATATACTTATGGTAGTAAAAAACTAAAAACATTCTAGATATTCATGAACGGAGACAAAATATGGTATATCCACACAGTGAAACATTTCTCAACAAAAAGAAACAATGAATTGTTGATACATGCAACAACAGAGATCATGCATTGGTGAATTCCAAAGTCCTTATGTTAAGAAGGAAAGAAGCCAAACATTAAAGAATAAATACTATGTAATTTTAATTATGTATAATTCTATAATACAAACTAATCTAAAGTGACAAGAAAGCAAGTGTGTTGTTGCCTGGGTTTGAAGGTGGAGAAAACATCTCTCCTCTTTAATATGCATAAGGAAACTTTGGTGAATGATATAAACATTCTATATCTTTATTGTGTAGTGCTGTGATGGGTTTGTGCATATGCCAAAACTTGCCAAATTGTGTACTTTGCATCAATGCAGTTTATTGTACATAAATTATACTTCAACAAGGTTGATGAAAATAAATGAATAATTGCTAGCATGCATGAATTTAATTACTATTAAATTACTAGTAGACATCATAGTCACCAATTTGTCATCTTCAGAAATTCTCATTAGATAATAGATCATATTACAAAGAGAATGGTGCATTTAGTTTGCAATTGTAATTAATTAAGGGCCTGTATAATTAATTTTAAAGCAATTTGCTGTGATTTAGATTTAGTAACTCTTCAGCTATCATTATGTTTTATGTACATATCATGATATCTAATATATATCTTTGTCTAATTGTAAAAATGTTGAAAATTTATGATATTCATACATGTAGGCCTTAGACAGGAATGATTAAATACAGAGTGCCATGCACATTGTCATATAGTATAGGAACAACTTTTGAAAAATTTAAAATGTGAAACATTTAAATTTTTAGGACATTTATGGCACAACTGGAGATTTAAACACTGACAGAATATTTAATGTTGAATTATCAATATTTTCTAGAGGTGGGTAAAATAGGAGAACTAAGGTTATGACTTGATAATTACTAAAGCTAGATGATGGGTGTAGGTTCATGGGGGGGTCTCATTTTTTTTGTTTATATTTGTGTGTGTGAAACATTTTATTAAAAAACGTGTATTTTCTAACTTAATAGTTTTACTTCTAGGAATTTATCATAAGGAACTTTACTATGGGTATCAACAAACAATCCGCAATAATGTTCAATGCAGTATTGTTATAATACCACAACATTGAAAACAAATACTGAAAAAAAGGACTTTGGTTAAATACATTATATTTTTATGTTATAATGCTACATGACATCCAAAATTCTATCAGAGGACTGGCCCCATAGTCTATTTTTTAAGGGAAATTGGATCCCACCAGCTGACAAGTTTTAATCATATCCCTAGAGGCTTAAAAACCATGTCAGGTGCATGCGTGTGCAGGCCTAAAATCCCAAAAGGATGGAGAATGGAAGAGAAGGGATTACTGCATGGCCATGCCCCATTGTGGGGTACTTTCTCTCTCTTTCACTCTCTTTGTCTCTATTTCAGTGAGTGCATGTACCCTCTGGCAATTAAAAAAAAAGCTATAGCAGAAAAATATATAACATGGGAAAATATTTGTGACATGTTTTTAGGTAAAAAAAAAAAAATTGCAGGTTCCAAAATAGGATGTTCACAAAAAAAAGTTTTTAAATTTTATAGAAAGTAAATTATTTATGAATGTGGTATGTATTTATAGAGAGACTGGAAGGATCTATAACATAATTTATAGTCACAATATTTTTAGAAATATCTTTTGGCAATTGGTCTGTCATTTTTTTAAATAATAAGGGTTAGATATTTTGGCTTTAATAAGGTAACAATACAATATATTAATAGTATAACATTTCATGGTGAAATTAAAAAAAATGTTTTTGGGGGGAGAGGTTTTTACTATAGGGCATGTGCACTCGCCAGAAAGACAGAGAGAGAGAGACAGAGAGACAGAAAGCGAAAAATCACCCCCCAGGGGGAAAAGCCATGCCGCAATCCCTTCTCCTCCATTCTTCTCTCGGGATCTTGGGCATGCACGCACACATGCCCGGCGTGAGTTTAAGCCACCAGGTCTGGGACTTGAACCATGGTCGACTACATGGGAGTTCAGTAACATAGCCATTACGCCAACTGCTGATCCCCTTGCTGAAATATTTTATAATGCTTTATATTTGGTAATTTATTACTTGTTAAACCTCAATGTTTGTCATATTGCTTGGCACCATAACAGATTCTCTAATATTATTCATATTCACTGAATAAGGATCAAGGTTGATTTCTCAAAATTTTTCTGTCTTTTACATATTTTAATTGAAGTATGTATTACTTCTTAAATCAGAGATTCACTATTAAAAATGGACAGTTTTGACAGGGTAAGTTTCTGCTCCTTCACTCTGAGATATAATAAAGTAAAATACATTTCTTGTGAAATCTAAATTGTAGATATTTGTTCAGCATCTTTTAATTTTTTTGTCTTTTCCTAATTCAGTTTTTGGACACCTGCAAATAAAGAAGTAGTTACAAAGAATGGTAAGATTCGTAATTGTCTTATGATTCTTTGGGAGAGGGGTGGTTGAATAAGGGCTTCTCTGTGACAGACTTCCTTTACCAATGATGTTAGTAACGGACATCCCTCATGTGGAAAATCTTTTAAACCAGTGTATTTAAAATTATGAGCCTGGGACCAGCAGATACTGTAATGGTTACATTGCTGGACTCCCATGTAGTTAACCACTCACTCTGTACAGGTCGTATGTGTGCCCAAAATTCTGAGAGGAGAATGGAGAAGGGATTGTGGCCTGGACATCCCTCCTGGGATAGGGGGGTAATTTCTTGCTTTCTTTCTCTCTGACTCTCTCTGTATCTCTGGCCAGTGCTCACACTACATAGCAAAAATCTCTGTAAAAAAAATTACGAGCCTAAGATATATTTTATAATGCTGAGCATATTATGGTCACTCAATTACATAATAAATTGATCACATTTAGCCTTGGCACTCACATCATTATTTATTTTCCAGATCAACAGAATAATGGGGATATGAAACGAATCCAGAATTTAAAAATACCAATCACACAGGTAGATATATGTTAAAAAACAAGTGTAATCAATCTCTAAAGCAATTAAATACATTTCAATTATGTCAAAGATACTGTAAAAATACAAATAATGTATTAATATGATCATATTATGGCTTGAACTTTGGGTGAGGAGATGTATTATGGTAATATTACAGTTAGAGAATCTAAAGTATTTAATTTTATTTGCTTTCTTATATTTGTATTACAATATTCAGTTTTACTTTTGTTGCATTTTAGACAGGATCACTACAATAACACATTATCTCTGATTACCCATGAACTTGAGTTGCAGTTCCCTGCTGATTTTTCTTCTATCTGTATTTACTTGAGAATAAGTAGTTTGCTTTTTGTGTTGTATCTTTCAAAGACTTTAATAAATATATAATGCCATGTATCTCCCATTACAGGATATGAATTAGCCCTTTTACTTCTAGGAAGCTTTTTGTACTATGGACACAAATTTATCTACTAAATCTCTTTTATTTGATTAATTAGGATCTCAACTACAATCTGAGTGAAGAAGGGCATTTAGAAAAAGAACACTGGAATGCATTCAGTCATCACAGCCCAGTTAATGTCTCCATTGGTGGAATTCCCTGCATTCTCTTCTGGGCCAAGAGAATCACAGTTAAATTTAAGAATCAGACCTGGCTGGACTTTACAGAGGAAGCATTTGGCCAGAAGGCAATTGTGGACACGGGCAACTCAAATTGCAGTGAAGAAAGTGCCATGTAAGTTGATCTCCCTGCTTGAGGAAGCCTGTAGGTCTATTGCAGTCTATTGACTATGAATCCAGTTTATTTATTTATTTATTTATTTAAGTTTTTTAAGAGCGAGTTTTTTTCCCCCCCATATGGTATGTGCACTTGCCAGAGAGACAAAAAGTGAGAAATCACCACCACCACCACCACCCCTGCCCAGGGGGGGGTGGCTCTGCCACAATCTTTTCTGCTCCATTGTTTTCTTGGAATTTGGGGCACACACACACACTTGCACCTGGAGAGTTTTAAGCTGCCCGGTCTGGGACTTGAACCACAGTCGACTACATGTGAGCCCAGCAATGTAACCATTATGCCATCTACTGGTCCCCAGAATCCAGTTATTTTGTCTTTTCAAAAAAGAAGAAAATTAGATTCCTTTGTATTGACCCTGATAAACATTTTTGAAGATGTGTTTAATGTCCAGAAGGAAAGAACAAGTCAGAAACTAAAAATTTATTTTTTCTTGGCAATTTCTTTTTTATCCTTTTATTCTTTGTTTCTTTTTTAATTTTTATTCATGATAGAGCTCAGGCATGTGCAGACTACATCCCTGTAGTCTGGTCACACCTCCACCCCCTTTCTTGGTCCTTCATCCTGATATAGATTGGGCACTCTTGTGCATGCCTCTCTGGCCTATTACAGGTTGGGGATTCAAACAGTGGTCACCATATGGGATCCAGCTTTTCTTAAGCAGTGCATTACTGCTATGCCATGGAGCTGGCCCTCGTGTGTATCCTATAGCTAATTGTCACAACAACTTGTGGAAAATGAGGCTTCTGAAAAAGAGAGTTCCTGAGCTCGATCTGAAAAAAAGAAGAAAAGATTCCAGGCTTGGTCTCAACTCCAAATGTTAAGCATCAAATCACTTTTGTTCCTTCAGGGAAGAAATTACATATCCCCATACAGATACACATATTCTAGTGGGTGGAACAGAGCCCTAGCCAAGACAAATGGGGCTTTTTGAAATTGTGGAATACAGCCTGTTTGCAGTTGTGCAAAGTTTCCTCCAAATGGCTGGCCAAATTTTAGGAAATTCTTTAGGACATTTTGAAGTGATTAGATTATTTAGTTTTAATGTGAGATAACAGATTAAACAATATCTCTTTCAAAGAGCAAATCAATTTCCAATGTCTTTCTCTGCTTTTCAGCCATCCAGGCAAAACTTTTTACTTTCATTTGTTTGGGTTCAGGGGAAGGAAATCTGGCATGTCCCATTTGCTTTCTATAAACCTCCTTTTTAATATTTTTCTGGTATAATGGATACTTTTAGAAGATTCTCTGAATTTTCCCTTGCCTGGTTGCTTGGTAAAAAGCATAACATTTTGTGTGGGTGTGTATTTTTTATAATTTTGCTGGAAAAATCTTTTTATCTCTGAACTTTATGTCTCATTTAAAGATTCCTGATTATGGGTAAAAAGGGATTATATTAATATACACTTAAAAGTCGTATTACAAGTCTCAGTAAAGGTCCAGCTATTCAGAATGACTGTCTCTCATTAGGGATTTAGGAAATTGGAAGAGTGAGTACCTAGAGTCCTCCTAGAGTTGTTTATCCTGTTATAGCATGACTATCGAAGACTATCAAACAGACTCCAGCACCGCTGAGAGCTCAGAACTTTTTCCTCAGGCTCTAGTTGATTCCCTACAGGGCTCTTTATCTGTGGGCAGTTGCCAAGAGAGGCTGGTTTGCCTGGGGATTATCTTGCCTGTCCCTGGCTGATCGGCCCTCTTTGATTCTGTTTATCCTGACCCTAAGTATTTGTGGGAAAAAATCAGGACACCACAGCTTTGGCTGGACTTTAGAAACCTTAGTGGTCATTGGGAACCTAGAAGTGGAAAGAATGAAAACTTGACTTCTAAGCCCATTCCTGTCAGTGAGTTTTATGACGTTACAAATAGGACTTGTAGTGTCATTGTCTGTCGATTGGAGATGATGTCATTGATTCACTGCAGTGAGCAGGCTTCGAGAATTTACTGTGGGCCTGGCACTGTGCTGGCACTGTGTGAGGGCCTCACACTTCCCATCAGTGACTCCTTAGAATAGCCCTCTGAGCCACAGGTACTGTTATCTTCCCTGTTCTAGGGGAGGAAATCAAGGCCGGAAGAAGTTAGGAACTTTTGCTAAAGCCATGCAGTTTGTGTAGTAGGATGTAAAAGACCTTTTAAAATGACATCTTAGGCCCAGCCTTAGTGGCACAGGCAGTAGTGTGCTGACCTGCAGTGCTGAAAATCACATGGTTGATTGCGGGTTTGGATCCTGAGTTGACCTGAAATGCACCGAGCATGTGTACATCCAAGATCTTGACTGGCTGGAGGGCTAGCGGAAGAGGATAGCAGCGTGGTGAAACTGCTGAGAGTACCTGCCTCTTTCTTTTCTCTCTCATGAAAGACAGAAAGAAAAAAGCAACAAAAAATTTCCTTCTGTCTCAGCCCCCTCTCACAAGGTTGTGAAAACCAAAAAGAAATATATGCAGAAGCACTCTAAGAACTTCTCAAGTGCCATCCAAAGTAGTAGTATTCTCTTCCTTCCTAAAATACTGGTAACTAGAGTGAAGTCATGTTTAATGACCAGGTGGAGAGGCTTGGTAAGCTTTGGTTTTCACAGTACACAAATGGACTATTGGGAAGGACCTGACATTTTTTGGTCTTCTTGAGCACCGCTCTAGACTTCTACCTGAATATGACCTAGAGTGTGGAACACACACCTCCTGGAGTCTGGCCCAGGTGAGTTTTCAGGTATCCTGCCCAGCCCACCTACAAGGATGAGCAGGAGGCCTCCCCAAAGTGAGGTGTTCGAGGACCAGCTGCTGAAACTTAAGTGTTGTGGATTCCCCTGAATCACGTAGATTAGTGAGATGCCTTTCCTATGTTGATGGGGAAATCTTTCCTCAAGAACCAGAATAGGAGTTGCTGAAAGAACAAACCAAACAAAGATATAACCATGTAAGGTCAAAAGCATGGATTTAAAAAAAAAAAAAAAAAAAGATGACCATGTTTTAGCTCTTAGAAATAAAATGTTCAGGGAGAGGCAAATTGCTGGCAGACAGATTTGCTGTGGAAGTCTTTAAATACTGAAAGCCCTGCAAATAGAGCATAATCTAAGCATCTGTGTGTATTTTGAGTTTAGGCAATTATAGTTTGAGGAATTCAGAATCTGCTTTAAACGCGTAGAGCACTTTAAAGAGTGAAACCTCTTTTTCTGAGCAATTTTCACTCAAGGTTGGATTTCTCCCTTGTGTTCCCACCCAGTGACACAGTGCTTGGCACTTTAGAAATCCTCAGAATAATCTTTGAATTTACTTGGTTGAAATCAGACCTCATGTTCTGAGAGAGCATGTTAATGTGCTTCCATCCAAACCAGGACTGCTGGAGAAAAGATCTTCGAGGGTTAAGAGTTTAGAGGTTGTTGTGCTGTCCCATCAAAAGATGGGACAAGTTTAATTCCTTAGCTGTGGAGCCAGTTTTGGATAACCAAGTTGTTCCAATTCCTTGGAAAAACTAGGGAAATTTCTGTTAGAGTAAGATTAGATACTAATATTTCTTTAGAATATTTTCAGTAATTTGTAGCAAACTATAAAAAGATTATCAGGGAAAGGTCCTCTTGAAGATGTATTTTACTAAGTAAATGAACATACAGAGTGTTTGGGACTGCTTGTACACTGTTTAAGTTTATGAGAGGAAATAAAGATATTTCTCTTGGCAATCTTATTTGTATGGGTTATTTTATTTTATTTTATTTTCTTCTGAAAAATTTTTTTATTAATTTACATTCATTCCCTGAGCATCATCACAACATACTAAATGTGATTTCCCATCTAGAATGAACTGCATAGTGGCTTAATCATGCATGTTATCATCCATAATATTCCATTTCTACTTTCATATATATATGTTTTTTACCCCATATGTTTTTTGACCCTCTGCCCTATTCCACTCTCTTATTACACTATCTCTGTTGTCTACAGTTGTCTTGAATTCCTTTCCCCCCAACATTTTGTTGATCACACAATATCATAAGTAATCTAACTACTTTCAATAGCAAGCTCAACTGATAGTTTCAAGAAAAGCAGTTTTGACCTGGTAAGGATATTTCCTTGAAACTTAAAGCCTAGAAACAGGTTAGTATTCTGTTCAAATAGTAGGTACATGAATCTATTGACAGCTCAAGACAGGACAAAAATCCTTAAAACCGGACAACAAAGCTTAGAAGAAACGCAGCAATATTTCAGTCAAGTCACAGAATGCTGTTTCATCAGTTCAGACTCATGTACTTTCTTTCTTCTGTTTCTGTTGAGGTTCGATCTTCCAGATTGAACTCTGGGATATAATACTCAGCTCCAGACTTTGTTCCTACAATTAAGTTGCCCATTTTCTTAGTTTCTGAACTCTTATTTCTGTATGTCTGCATTTAATTTTACTGACATAGCACTCCCTTAAGAACTTCTTGGAGATCTGGTCTGGTGCTGGTAAATTCTTTCAAGTTTTGTTTATCTGGGAATTTTCATGTCTTTTCTTCCCAAATGAATGATAATCTTGCTGGGTACAGAATTCTCAGTTGAAATTGCTTTTCCCTTAA